GGGAGGCTAAAACAGAAAAAAACTAAAAAAGTAAAAGTAAAGAAAGAAAGAAGGGAAAAGAAAAAAAAAAAGCATATAAGAAAGATGGAGTAAATATAAAAGAAATTAAATGGCAAGAGAAAATCGAAAAGGAAAAATAAAGAGAAACAATGTCAACTGCTTAAAATGGAAGAGAAAATAAGAAAGGAAAACAGTTCAAAGATAAAGAAAGAAAGAAAGAAAGAAAGAGACAAATATCAGCCATATGAAGTGATAATGAGAAAACCAAGCAAACACAATTTGCAAGCATAATCAGAACCATCCTCCCACTCCGTGATCCAAAGAATTGCATAATGCGTAGGAAGTATCACAATTTGCCTTTTACCCCCTTTTTTCTTCTTTGTCAATCCTTCTCTTTTTTTCATTTGTCTTTTGACGGAAGTTCTTTTATCTCCTATCTTTTATTAAATTTTTTTTATCCTTGACATAGCATACTACTACAGCCCGTTCTACTTCCCATTGGCACATCAAACTGGCCTTTCCCATTCGCCATTCTCCTACTCACCTCCTTCCACACCCCCAACACATCCCTTACCACTCCTCTACTTCTCTTTTATAATCAAGAAACCCTTGAGGATCGGCTGTGCACGTTCAAAACTCAATGGATAATGGGCCCATCCCCCTATCTTTCTCCACCTAAATACTAGGCTTTTGTCTGCAATACAGTTTGAACCCCCCTGACATGCGTCTCCTCACATTACACGTTGCGCTCTTACCACTAGACCAAAATCATAGGCTTTAAGGGGCATAACAATGAAGGATGGGATGACTAGGAGCAGCAATGTGAGGGGGGCGATAGAAGGAAATGGAGGAGAAGAATGACAGCTATATAAGAAAATGGGTAGTTTTCTTCTTCTTTTTTCAGTCTTAACATCAACTTAGTTCTGGTCTATTTTTGTGCCAAACTAGTATAATATGGAAGACTAATGCTTTACCCAGTGTTGTGAAGAGCGTGAAGCGAGGAAAAGCGACAACCCCCCATTTCACGAGAAATGAGAAGCGAAGCGTTCGCTTTTTTTAAGTGAAGCGGAATTTTAAAAAATTAAAATAAATACTGCATAGACAACACATGTAATTATAAGCAAATGTTCAATACTTTAATTAAAGTGGCATCAATTAAAGCACAAAATGAGCATCTTATTCTTTTACAAGATTGTCAAATTCTTATATTCCACTATCATTATTATATTGCTAGTCACTGGAAAAATTGGGCAGAAATTTTGGGCAGAAAATTTCTGAGAAAGAACCGAAGGTAAAAAAAAAAAAAATTCGTCGTTTTTTGGACGTTTAGAAAGAAAAAGAAAAAGAAGAAGAACAATCTTAGTTGATGCTTTGAGATTATTTCAGAAATCAGAAGTTGATGAAGAAGAGAAAAAGAAATCGCTGTTGTTGAAGAAAAACCTTAGTCTCGCTGCTGTTGAAGAAGTCCAGACAATGTTTACGGTTTAGAAACCTCATTTTTTAATAAAATAGGGCTTGGGTTAATTTTAAACATAGAAGCGGACACTTCTAACGCTTCTTCTCGCTTTTTACAGAGAAGCGGTCGCTTTTTCGTACCAAAGTCGCTTCAATTACCTGAAGCGCTGCCCTTCACGCCTCGCTTCGCTTCTCGCTTAAAGCGAGGAAGCGAGCGCTTTTTTAATCACTGGCTCTACCAAGAGATATTAACGACGAAAATGTTGTCAAATGGTAATCCAGAAAGAGAAATTTTCTTCATCTTGTTTCCTATTTCCTGGGATAAGTACTCTGCTTGTTACTCCTAGTCAATTGATCTCTTTCTCCAAGAACAATTAGACTCTCTCTTACATCATGACCAAATCGGGAAGGGAAGTGGTGGTCAAAGTGGTGACAAGAGAATAAGAATTAAATGATACAACTAGTCAACCCAATTGTAGCATAAGCCAGCAACCTTAGAAGCCAAATCCAACTGCAAATGCAAAGAGTATTTCCAAACATACTGACTTTGGAGTTTGATAGGAGGGTATATCTCAGTGTTATTAAAAGCGCTCGCTTCTCGCTTTAAGCACTGAAGCGACGCGAGGCGCTGGGCTATCGCTTTTCTGCCCCAAAAGCGACTCACATTTAAAAAGCGCACGCTTTAACCGCTTAAGCGAGAAGCGCCTCGATGGAAAAAGCGCAAAAAAGCGTGCTTAAGCGACGTGAAGGCATCTGCTAGGGTTTTTTTTTTTAAATTTGGCAAATAAACCATCTGTTAACAAATAAACATACGCTCTTCTGCTGCTCCAACGACTGCTTCTTCTCTTGCTCCAACGACTGCTTCTTCTCCAGTTCTCTGTAAGTTTCTTCTTCTCTCTTTTCTCTTCTTCTTCTGTTCGACTCCTTTTTTCTCTTTTTCTTCTATTCTTCTTCTTCTGTTCGACTCCTTTTTTCTCTTTTTCTTTCTATTTTTTTCACTTTCTATTGCTCTGTTCTACACATCTAATTTATGTCTGTTCTTCTACCCTATTTGTCTCTTCTTCTTTCAATTTTTTTCACTTTTTTAAGCGCTGATTTTCTGCCCTAAAATTATGCTCTATTTTCTGGTTTATTGCTCTGTTTTTGTGCCCTAAAACTATGCTCTGTTTTATGTTTTTGTTATTTTGTTTTGCATTTGCTTAATATGTTATGACTTTTGAGGATTATTCACTATCTAGTTTTCGTATCTATTATTTGCTTCTTGATTCAAGAATTGAAACATTTGCTTAATATGTTATTTTTAATGAGTTCTTAGCCATTTATCTATGCCTATTTTATTTTTTTTATTTATGTGTTAAATTGCGCTTCACATGAAAAAAGTGTGCGCTTCGCGCTTCGGTGAAGCGAGGCCTCGTCGCTTTTTTGCACTTAACGCTTTCCAAAACACTGGTATATCTAGTCTTATCTGAAGATGGAAGTTACTGGAATTAATTTCATAGGCAATTCAGCAATTGGAAAATACGTTCATAATTGAGAGGACCATTTCAACAGAGTAGAAACGGGATTTTGTGGTATGCTTTCAGTAACTCCCTATATGAATCTAGTTCGAACTCTCACAACATCCTGCCCTATATAGCTCTAATGAAGGTTTAAAGCGAAGTAAACACTAAATGTCAATCTGAAACTATCAATTCCCGTAGCGTATATGACTGCATTTCGAAAGGAGAAACAAGTGAAGTTTTTTAACAGAGTTGCCATACTAGATTAAGTGAGTCGGTGAGCTGCATCTTTTCTCTTCTTCTTTTTTTCCTTTATGTGTGTGTGTGAGAATATGTACGTGCACTAGTTTGTTGATAGCCTGCAAAAAATTTGCATTTTATCTCTTTTATCGAGCATCTCCCATTACCATATCTACAAATTACTCTGCATAATTTTTGCACCCACTGGGTGCAAAATAACTATGCTGCGAATTAACTTAAAAAACTCCATCCAAAACATGAAATAGGGACAAATGAAGCTTGCAATAACTACCTGAACAAGATAATAGAAGATACGAAGTCCCTCGGGATCTTTACTGGTTTGCACATCCATCAGTGAACCAATCTTAGATGTAGTGAATGATATGTGCTCATTCCCCATCACTATCTCAAGCTCCTGCCTCCCAACTCTATCCGGCTCAGGCCAGTTGTTATCATCTTCCTTCATAATCTACAAACAAAATAAACACCCAAATTACCAGATAACAAAACCTAGTAGGCAAAGAGATTGGAAAAACATATAAATACTGGAGGGGAAAGGTGAAAACCTCGCTATCGGCGACAATGCGGCGGCACTCTTTGAGTACGGAAGGGGTAAGGAAAACCTCTTTACGAATCATGGTATCGTTCTTGTAATTGGAGTTGTTGGCATAACGGAGTTTGCCGTCCGGACGAAACTCGAATTCTAAGAACTCATGCCCGAATTTCCCTTTGTGACCGACATAATACCTCAGGTAGAACTCGCCATTGTCTTCCAACTCCGCCATTTCTCTGATTCTTCCGCCCTCAAACCACTATGACTAAACTGTACCCGAATGCCACAATGGAGCGTCGTCCCTTTTTGGCCCTAATGCCAGGGCGAGGTGCACAACTTGCCCCTTTTGTAGGACTATTTAAACAATATCCAAATTTACAAAATTCTAGGTCCTTTGTCAGGAAGTATTAGAAAAAACAGAGAAGGGAACTATTCGAAATAGTTCAAAAATACTGCATTGCCATTTAAGCTCACATGATAGTCCAACTAGGTTACATTTGCTTACATAGTCATCCATCTAAGCAATCCAGCATGACAAAATTGTTTTTTCGAAAAAATTACTTTTCCGAATTTTTTGTTAAAATACAAAATCAACATTTATTCCCAAAAAAAGTAAACAAATATTCGGAAAAATTATTTATTTTGGAATTTTTTTATTAAAATACAAAATAAATACTTATTCCGAAAATAGAAAAAAAAATTCAGAAAAATTATTTATTTATTAAAATATTATATATAATATACAAAATAAATTATTTTGGAGCATGCTTTAATATATTGTTCCGGAAATTTTTTACTTTTTTCGGAATAAGTGTTCGACCGTGAAAATTTTAAATTTCACGTAAAGTTAAATTTCAGAATTTTTGAAAATTTGAAAACTCCAAAAATTATAAGAACTTTGGATGAACCAATTGATACTTACAGTAGAGGTGTGGCTTTTGTGAATCTATAACTGATAAGTATCTAAAAATTTAGATCAAGCTAATCATAAATTCACAAAAGAGAACAATGGAGTTTTTTTAATCAAATCATAAAGCCCAATCAAGAATAATTTTTTTGGAATTTTTTTACTATTTTCGGAATAAGTGTTAATTTTGTATTTTAATAAAAAAAATATGAAATAAATAGTTTTTCTGAATATTTTTTACTTTTTTCAAAATAAATGTTGATTTTGTATTTTAATAAAAAAATTCGGAAAAATAGTTTTTCCGAAAAATTAGTTTTGCCATGCTAGATTGCTTAGGTGGATGGCCATGTAAGTAAATCTAACCTAGTTGGACTGTCATGTCAGCTTCAATGGCAAGACTAACAGTTTAGGGGCATTTGTGGTCCAAAACATAGACGGCAGGGATATTTTTGGCACCAAAAACAAACGGAAGATATTTTTGAGCTATTTCGAATAGTTTAAGGACATTTTTGGCCCTTTTCCGTAGAAAAAATAACAATGCATATATTAGTTTTGTAAATTACTAATTTGTTATTTGGTATATTATTTTAACTTATGTATGACTAATATTTATATTAGTTATATGATGACCCGATAGGTCATCTAGAGTTTAGAACCTAATTATGTGATTCGAAGCCTCAAATAACACATTTTAGCCTTCTTCTATTTGCATGCGCAGTCAGAGTATTTTCCGAAAATCTTTTATGTTAAAAACTAACAAAATATGAAATTTTGCCTTAAAAATCTATTTGAGTTGACTTCGGTCAACGTTTTGAGAAAACGAATCCGGATCTGTATTTTAACGGTCTCGATGGGTCTGTATCGTAATTTGGGACTTGGGCATATGTCTGGAATTTAATTCGGAGGTCCCTAACTCGAGTTATCGTTTTTCGTTCAAATTTGAAAGTTTAAAGGCTTAATAAATCTAAAAGTTTGACCAATGTTTGACTTTATTTATATCGGGTTCGTATTTTGGTACTAGAATCCGTTATAGGTCCATTACTATATTTATGACTTCTCTGTCAAATTTGGTGAGAAACGGAGTTGGTTTGACGTGATTCGGACGTCCGGTTGTTAAAATAGAAGTTCTTGAGTTTTCTTGAAAATTTCCTTTGATTTGGTGCTCAATTCGTAGTTCTAGATGTTATTTTGGCGATTTGATCGTGCGAGCAAGTTCGTATGATATTTTTGGACTTGTGTGTATGTTTGGTTTGGAGTCGCAAGGGCTCGGGTGAGTTTCGGATAGGCTACGGAGTGAATTTTGGACTTAGAAATGTGCTGGTGTGCTTCAGTTCTGGTGCAGGCCTCAGACCTCGCAATTGTGAGGTCAGGCTTCGCATTTACGACCTCTGTCAGGTTCGAACTTGCAAGCTATTCCTCGCAATTGCGAAGAGTAGCTAGGCACCACATGGTTCGCATTTGCGACCAATCCTTCGCAATTGCGAAGCGGGGCTGGGAGGATAGTGATCGCATTTGCAATCAAACGGTCGCATTTGCAGAGTGGCCATGTTCACAATTGCGATGATAGTAGAAAATGTGAGACTTTGCATTTGCGGGGTTCACAATTGCGAACCCCAGGTCGCAATTGCGACATCTGCAAGACTGCAACTGGTCAAATTCAAGTTAGACGGAATTTTCTGTCATTCTTCAAATTTTCAAAACAGGAAAACTCTAGAGGCGATTTTTCCAAGAACCCTTCTTCCCCAATCTATTGGTAAGTGATTCTAACCTATCTCCTTTTAATCTTTCATTACATTTCATAAGATTTTAGCCTAAAATCTAGTGTTTTCATGGTGGAAATTGGGGGTTTGGGTAGAATTAGGAATTTTTATAAAATTTGGATTTAGACCTCAAATTGAGGTCGAATTTCAAAACAAATCACATAACCAGGCTCGGGGTGAATGGGTAATCGAATTTTGATCCGAATTTCGGGTTTGGACCAAGCGGGCCTAGGAGTTGACTTTTGTTGATTTTTTCAATAATGAACTAAATTGAATCTTTTGCAATCGTGGGTAGTTCCTAAGGCTTAATGTGAATTGGTTGATTGGTAATTTGCTCTATTGGTTTGGATACTTGTTTGAAAGGCAAACATGTGGTTGAGCTTTGAGTTGATCCTTGGAGCGAGTTAAGTGTCGTGGTTAACCTTGACTTGAGGGATTAGGATTTGTTTGCCTATTTGCTGCATGTTTAGTTGTTGGGTATAATATATATGTGAGGTGACGAGTACTTATGCATTGTTGTTAGGTTAAAACATGCGGGTGGGACTTGTTCCTTGTAATTTATTGCTTACTTTGATCATGTTATACATGCTTAGACTAGTTATTTATCAAATTAATCATTCTTTCCGCATTTATAGGCTTTTTATGATAATTGAGTATTGTTTCTAAAGTTGAGGTTGGCATTGTGGAACCATTTTGATGTAAGGTTTGTTCTTGTTCATTTTATCTCCTTGTTGTTATATGTTGATTGTTATATGGTAAAGGAGAGTGTTAATGCACGAAGGGTGATGTCATGTCATATTTGAGTATTAATGCACGAAGGGTGATGTCGTGCCATATTGTGAGAGTTAATGCACGAAGGGTAATGTCGTGCCATATTTTGAGAGTTAATGTACGAAGGATGATGTCGTGCCGTATCTATTGATTTATGATGAAAGTGAAAGTAAAATCACGAAGGGTGATGCCATGCAGTATTATTGTTCCATCGTGAGGTTGAGAGTAAAAGCACGAAGGGTGATGTCGTGTAGTTTTTATTCATTGTGCTTATCCGTTTTACTGGTTAAAGGCATATTGACTATTCTGGCTATCTTTTCTTGTTGTATTTTATTGTATCTTGTTCCTCTTTTGCATGTCCTCTTCCAATAGTACATGTTTGGTCTTTGTTTGTTGTTATCTTGTAGGTATATTGTTATCTGTACGGGTTTATTACGTGAGTATCTTGTCATACTCTCTTCACTACCTCGTCGAGGTTAGGCTCGATACTTATAGAGTACATGAGGTCGGTTGTACTCATACTACACTTTGCACTTCTTGTGCAGATTTTGGTATGGGTCTCAGCTGTCCGTGAGGCGTATCAGCTCGGAACTGCTTTTGGAGACTCGAGGTAGATCTGCTGGCATCCGCAGACCTTGAAGTCCCCTTCTATTTCCCCTATTTTACTGTTCTTTTCGTTCAAGACAGATGTATTTATTTCAGACCCTATTTGTAGAGATTCTAGAAGCTCGTAAATTATGACTCCAGATCCGGATTGTACTAGATATTATTGGGTTTTATATTATTTCGCACTCAATTTTAGTTTTATTTCGGCTTAGTTGATTTTGTTTATTGGAATTGGTTAAAATTTGATTAAAGATCCTCTAATGTTGGCTTGCCTAGCAAGTGAAATGTTAGGCACCATCGCAGTCCCGAAGGTGAAAATTCTGGGTCGTGACAAGCTATAACTAATTTATCCTATTTGGTATTATCCTATGTATAACGATACATAGCAAACCATGGTATTAGCAATGCAAGGATTTTTAACACTTGCATAAACTTAGTTAAAGATATAATTGTCCTTCAAATCCCTCAAAACCTATTCCAAATACTTTCCGCCATTTTGTAAATGACATTTTGACTACACAAGATCGTTATTTCAGTTTACTATTTTAATACTAATGAAAACTATTTAAAAATATCCGGTGTTTGTTTAGTAAATGAAAAACATTCTCAAAAAATTATATACTAAAGATTATTATTATTATTATTATTATTATTATTATTATTATTAATAATAATAATAATAATAATAATAATAATAATAATAATAATAATAATAATAATAATAATAATAATAATAATAATAATAATAATAATAATAATAATAATAATAATAATAATAATAATTACAACAACAACAACTGTCATACCTCCTTTTTCCTACACCCGGAAGGGTATAAGGGAGTTTTTTCAATTTAAGTGACAATCGAATTGGAATTATTTTATTTAAAAAAATTCAGAGTCGCCACTTGGGATAATTTATGATGTCCCAAGTCACCGGTTTTGAATCCCGAATCGAGTAAAGATTGACTCTGTTTTACAGTCCGCAAACACAGAAATCCGGGTAAGGAATTCTGTTAACCCGGGAGAAGGTGTTAGGCATTCTCGGGTTCCGTGGTTCTAGCACGGTCGCTCAACTGTTATAATTGGACTATTCTCTGATTTTAGTACATGTTTTAGCCTATGGTTCAATTTCAACTTTACAACTGCTTTTATTTAATTAAGGAAGATTGCAACGTCTTTTAAAATACATCTTGAACCACGTCACATAAATGCACCCGCAGTCCACAACACATTTTGTCTAACGTTGTTGAGATTTGGATTTAGGTCACATAAATGCGCACCCGAGTTTAGGAAGGTAAATTATTAAATA